AACCAATACAAATATCAAGCTAAGATCATTCGGTTAAATGATTCGAGCAACCTAACGTCTAGATATAGTCCTCAATAACTCTTCCTAACAAGAGGATAACATAGACGGTAAATCAAACAAATCACACAACACATAGACAATACGTTTCCGAACAAGTCTATTTCATGCGAGCCTAGATCGATCAGCTCCTCCCCTTTCGGTTCTAAGAGTTGATTAAATTATCCTAGACGATTGTTAATCTACTAGTTCGATATATTCAAACACATCACACAAGAACGAATCATATTCAATTGGAAATCAATTGCAAATCGAAGTGTCACTCTTCGACAATAATCAACATTCAATGTACGAGAATTATAAACCCTAGTTAAGAACAACTCGCATAAATTGAGTGATCAACAAGCATGATAATCACAATTAAATTCTAAACATCATCATCATCCCCTATCCCTAGCGAAACGATTTAGCCACTCATATGGAATTCAAAATCAACAATCTCAACAATCAAAGCCACTATATTCATGAATTAGATGAAAAGAGAAACTTATGATTAATAGAAATCCAATATTCGAATCCAATGACAAAGCTAAATCCGGAAAAGTAAAGAGAGAATTGAGCAAAAAGAACGATCTAAATCTGAGTTTTTAGAGAAGGAGAAAGTGAAAAAAGAATATTGGGGATTGTTTCCACGAGTCTAAGGATCGTTTTGATATATAGTGCGCGAAAAATGGAGCTAAAACGAGTAAAAACAAGCAAAAATAAAAACAGGGTCGGCCTAGTCGCGAGTCGCAACTTTGCCTTTTCCTCGGTCGCGAGTCGCGCGTCGTCATTTTTTTTAATATCTGGGGCTGGTCGCGATCCAAGTCGCGAGTCGCGACCTCAACTCGCGAGTTGCGACTTTGACACGGAACTGCTCCTTAAGCCTCAGTTTTTCTCACGAGTCGCGACTTTCATCTCGCGAGTCGCGACTTTGGTCTCACGAGTCGCGACTTTTCTTTCACGAGTCGCGACTTTGAACTGCATTGCGCAATTTTACGTTTCGGGCTCGTTTGGGCTGGTCCGAACTCGGAATTGAGTTCCGTTTTTTGCTATGCGTCATCAACGAACCCCTCTATTAGAATATGCACTCGAAATGAACTTTTTCTGAAGAGAAAATTCTCCCAAAGCTCCCGACCTACACACCAAAAACGACAAAACACAAAAGAAAACCGAAAAAACAAACGAAAAACACCTAAAGACTCAAAATAAAGAAAAACACATAATAAAACACGAAATGGACTAAAAACTAAAGAAACAACCTAAAACGGGGGGAAAAGAAAGATAAAATAAACACGAAAAACGCAACAAGAATGGGACAAACAGCTCCATGTGGCTGTTTGGTTTTTGTGTGCATGGCATTTGACCGAAGATCTCAATGAACTCAGGCTACATAGTTGCATACTCATACGCTCACTCTTGGAATAATGAGTCGAGCTACGACTTAGAGTGCTATGGCAGACATGTTTATACCCTTACGAGAAGCAGTGGGATCCAGTCCTGGTTGAGCAATTGTATGAGTCCATGAGGATTCCTCGGAGTACAGTGCAAAGCTTGATAGAATTCTCGTTGTTTTGACCTCCCAAACAGCCCGAAGAGAAATTATTGAGGCCAGACTAGAGAATCTAGTGGAGCGCATTTAAGTTATAAAGGATTGGGTTTACAATTCCTTTCCCAAACCCCCTGGAAAAAGCGAACCCCATAAGGACATTTTGACGTTTGACAAAAAACTCAATCTTGTGTGTGTCTTTCCAAGCAACTCAACTGGAGGAGATTGAGGTTGGATGCACTCAGTTGGTGGTGCAATTAGATGGTATAATAAAGCTCATTGAATCCATTGAGACGCGAGATGATGGGTCCATTATCGATGACCATCCGATACACATGGGCAAGACTGAAAAGGAGGAACATACGCTCCAATAAGTCGCGAGTTTTATTTTGATGAAGGAGGTTCATAAGCCCAAGTTCAAGAATCCCTCATTCTCCTCGCACCATTGATAATGCTGAATTTAGCTCAACCTAGTTACAACCAGGTTAGACCCAGAGGCGGGCAAATCACGAAGTCGTGGTTACAACCTAAAGATTCGAGTGTCGTATTGTAAGAGGGGACAAAACCGTTCAAAGATGAAAAATGTATCTCGCCAAGGAATCTAAGATTACAGAGACCTGGTAAGTTAGGAAAGTAGCTCTTGTCCAACTGGCTGGAGTTCTCCGGCCTTTAGATTGCTATGTAGCTCTTGTCTTTTGGTTTTCTGTACTAGGATATCTTGTCTTTTGTTTGGTTTTTTCATTTCCTTTGGTTTGACCTTAGCTTTATCTCTAGGCATTGGCAGTGGAGGTAGAACTATAGTCTAGTTTGTTTGTTTTCTTTCCTTGTTGAGGTTCTAGGCCGCTATATGCGTGTCCTCCCACTTTTCGCTTTTCCTTCTCGGGTTGGCTTGTACTATTCGAACTTGGTTCGCTTGAGTTTTTAATAGAATCCCTATCGTTTCGACAAAAAAAAAAAGTTAGGAAAGTAGATTCATTTAGATCTCTTCCCTATCCAAGACTGAGTCAACAACACCTTATGACATGATTGATATAATGGAATAGAATTTCGTAGGAATTGAATGAATTGCAGAATGGAATGATTATGGGAATGGAATGAAACATGTTTTGTCATTGATGGGTTTGGTATGAAAAAGGAATATGACTGGAACGGAATGATATTATTATTTTTTATTATAAAAATAAATAAAAGTTTTTTTTTAAAATAATATATTTTTAATAATATATATATAAATGATTTTTCAATAATATATAAAAATACAACAATATATTTTTAATAATATATTGTTTAATAATATAAAAAATAATATATTTTTAATAATATATAAAAAAATAATATACTTTTATATTATATATAAAAAATAATATATTCTTAAAAGTAATATATTTTTATAATTTAAAAAATAATATATTTTTAATAATTTTTAAAAATAAAAAGTATTATATTTTTAATAATTTATATTTAATTTTTTAATTAAACAGTAAATAAAAGTAAGTTTCAATTTTTTATTTGAAATTATTTTTTAAAATAATATATTTTTAATAATATTTAAAAATAAAAAATAATATATATTTTTAATATTTTTCAATAATATATTTTTAATATATAAAAATAATATATTTTTAATAATATATAAAAATAAAATAATATATTTTTAAATTATATATAAATATTTGTTTTAGTTTTATTTTTATATAAGTATTTAATATATCTAATTAAAAAATAAATAAAAGTAAGTTTTCAATTTTTTTATTTGATTTTTTTTTTAAAAAAATAATTTTATTTAATATATTTTAATCATAATTTATACTATATATATTATATATTTATTTTTCATTATTATTTGTTAATTTTATTTTTTGAAAAATTGATTCCTACACAAATGGGAATGAGAAAACCTTCCATTTACTATGGAATGGCTAATCCCATGGAGATGAGTTTTGCTATTCCCATCGGAATGGTCATTCCTTCCCAAAAAATATACCAATCATGGGATAAGGAATGAATAAGGGAATGACCATTCTATTCCTATGTCATTCCTTCCTACCAATCATGCCATAGTATTTAAAAGGTGATTAAGTTCTACTTTAGATACAACATATTCATACACGCACATTGCTTATAGTTTTATCTATTTTTGTCACGAGCGAGTACTGAATTGAGCATCAGATTCTTTTCTGTTGGGACCCCCTCTCCAGCATATTGCAAGTCACCATAGCTCAAGATTGGTGAATGTTCTTGGATTTGACCAGGTTCAAGGACAATCTCTGTACCACACACATGATCGAGCATTAATTTTGTTAAATTAATCGAGTGAATGTATTTAAACTTATAAAAGGCACGATTGGTATGAAGGAATGACATGTGAATGGAATGATCAATCCCTTACTCATTCCTTATCCCATGATTGGTATATTTTTTGGGAAGGAATGACCATTCCAATGGGAATGACAAAACCCATCTCCATGGGATTAGCCATTCCATAGTAAATGGAAGGTTTTCTCATTCACATGTGTGTAGGAATCAATTTTTCAAAAAATAAAATTAAAAAATAATAATAATAAATAAATATATATTATATATTATAAATCATGATTAAAATATATTAATATAATTATTTTAAAAAAAATTCAAATAAAAAAATTGAAAACTTACTTTTATTTATTTTCTAATTAGTATATTAAATACTTATATAAAAATAAAACTAAAAAAAGCATTTATATATAATTTAAAAATATATTATTTTTTATATATTAAAAATATATTACTTTTAAAAATATATTATTAAAAATATATTATTGAAAAATATTAAAAATATATATTATTAATATTATATTACTTTTTATTTTTAAATATTATTAAAAATATATTATTTTATAAAATAAAATTCAAATAAAAAATTGAAAACTTATTTTTATTTTGCTGTTTAATTAGAAAATAAATTATATATTATTAAAAATATATTACTTTTTATTTTTAAATATTACTAAAAATATATTAATTTTTATATTATTAAAAATATATTATTTTAGTTTTTATATATTATTAAAAATATATTATTAAAAATATATTATTTTATTTTTATATATTATTAAAAGAGCATTTATATATAATTTATTAAAAGTATATTATTTTTAAAAAAAACTTTTATTTATTTTAATAATAAAAAATTGATAATGTTATCCCATTCCAGTTTTATTCCTTCTGCATACCAAACGCATCAATGAGAAAACATGTTTCATTCCATTCCCATAATCATTCCATTCTTCAACTCATTCCATTCCTATGAAATTCGATTCCATCATACCAATCATGCCATCCGCTCCACCTTTGTTAAGTTTTGACTTTACAAAATCACATTAATTCATTTCACATAATAGAACAGAAAGTCCTCATATTATTTCGTTGGACTTTGGCCAGCACGTCATAAATCACGGAACGGGTCACGGGGGACCTAACGCCATGACGTCGTCGCAGTAACTCCCTGGAATATCGAAATCTTCCCTGGCAAAAGCAAAAAAATTAGTGATAAATGTCATCCACCTCGTTCTGCTAAAACCTCACTGTCCTCTCGAAACACAAAAACCTGTTCTCGACTTCTCATAGTTTGCATTTATTTTTTTCCATATCCCACCTCTCTTCCCGCATCCATGGCCAAGGAACCAGTCCGTGTCCTCGTCACCGGTGCCGCAGGTACGACTTTCATTCACAGTTCAATTCCAGATCTGTATTGTAGATTTTAGTTTTGAACAATTGGTGTGCTTTTATGGCTGTTATTGTCCGTTAATTGATGGATCGCGGGCATCTGGCGTTGATCTGTGTGGATCGGGTGTGAATCTTTTGTGTGGTGGTTATGTTTTTATTTGAGTTTAGATTGTTGGTAAGGTACCACTTTTTTTATTTGTTTATCTTTGTTAAGTAGATGGATGTTCACCGTGAGATATGTGAAAGTAGTTCTGGAAACGAGAGAAATTTTGTGCTGTTTTTTTATTTAGCCAAATAATTTTTCTCTTTTGAAACATTGAGCACTTTTGGTGATCAGCTTAATTACGAATGCTTGCTTCAGTGATTCGGAGTGCCATTTAACTTACAGCGGAAGTTGAGATTGTTATTGTCCGATTAATGCTATGTACTATCCCAGTATATTAACATGCTCATAAATGATTCTACTTTTTCTTGAATGGAAAAATCTTGGACATATTATTGACCTGTTCTCTTTCTGCATCTGCTGATCTCTTATCATCTCTAACAAACTTATATTTCTTTATCTAATATCTATTTTATGGATTGAAATGAGGATGACAAGATGTTTCAGAAGTTGGTCCATTCTTGATTCCTCGATGTTCAAACTGGGATTAGTTGTTTTACTTTGGGGGTTGGAATATGTACTATGTACGTTGACTGCTTTGTGTGTTAAATTGTATTAATTGATACTCTAATGGCTTCATTCATTTGTTTTCCCTTCGCTTTTCCTTCTTATTATAGGGCAAATTGGATATGCTCTTGTTCCAATGATTGCCAGGGGAGTTATGTTGGGCCCTGATCAGCCAGTCATACTACATATGCTGGATATCGAACCTGCTGCTGAGGCTCTTAATGGAGTTAAAATGGAATTGGTTGATGCAGCTTTTCCTCTTCTTAAAGGTTAACAATCTATATTTCTTTTTTCTTTTTCTACATCTTAAGTTTCATTTTACTACACTGTTGACATACTGTTGACTTAAAGTCAAAGGCAATTATACATATTTTTTCTGATGTTAACTCGGTTGTGGATTTTTAGCCTATATAGTTACTTACAATTTTTTTGGATCAGGTGTTGTTGCTACAACTGATGTTGTCAAAGCTTGCACTGGCGTCAATGTTGCTGTAATGGTTGGTGGGTTCCCGAGGAAAGAGGGTATGGAGAGGAAAGATGTGATGTCCAAGAATGTCTCCATCTACAAGTCCCAAGCTTCTGCTCTTGAGAAGCATGCTGCTGCTAACTGTAAGGTGAGTGGCTGTTCACTACCTTCACTGCCTTTCGATTAATAGTTATAGAAGGAAACTGGCGGGGAGGGGAATCAATATTTGTAGGAAAGTGCGGGGTACAGGGATCAAACCTTGTATCAACAACTGTAACACCCATATAAGCGTTCATATCTGGAATAATTATTTCAAAACAACCATAAAAGGAATCTGACTGGTTATGATGATATCTTACTGGAAGTTGGTACTTATTGTTTTGAGAATTCCCAATTTATATTCTTGTTGAACCTATGTCCCAGGTTTTGGTTGTCGCTAATCCAGCTAATACCAATGCGTTGATTTTGAAAGAATTTGCGCCGTCTATCCCTGAGAAGAACATTACTTGCTTGACAAGATTGGACCACAACAGGGCCCTTGGACAGATTTCAGAGAGATTGAATGTTCAGGTGTCGGATGTGAAAAATGTTATTATCTGGGGGAATCACTCCTCAACGCAGTATCCTGATGTCAACCATGCTACCGTCAAGACTCCAGCTGGAGATAAGCCTGTTCGTGAGCTCATTGCTGATGATGCATGGTAAAGAATTGTATCAATGTTTAATTATAAGCATTCGTACCAATTATTTTCAAGAGTTAGCTTTATAGCATGTTTCTTATTTTTATTGTATATTTTGTTAGGTTGAATTCAGAATTCATAACCACCGTCCAACAGCGTGGTGCTGCTATCATTAAGGCTAGAAAGTTTTCTAGTGCACTTTCTGCAGCCAGTTCAGCTTGTGATCACATTCGTAACTGGGTCCTTGGAACTCCTGAGGTAATGCCTTTTCCTGGGTTTTTAATTAGTGTGTGGTTTAAATTTTTGGTGGTTGACGAGACCTATCTTGAATGCTGATTCTCATAAATCTTGTTTTGTATTTATTGTTCCAGGGTACTTGGGTTTCTATGGGTGTATACTCTGATGGCTCATACAATGTTCCAGCTGGACTTATTTACTCTTTCCCCGTTACTTGCAAGAATGGTGAATGGTCCATCGTTCAAGGTGCGTACATGAGTAAAAACATCATGAAGGTTCAAATTTTGGGAGTTTTTTGCAATTACCATTAGAAGGGAAGTGGTTTAATTAATGTCTGGTCGGGAAAGAGTAGTTTGTAGTGTTTTCAAATGTCAAATTTTCATTTAAATATTTCAGATTTGTGCTTTGGTTTATGGTTTGATTATTCAAGCCATAGATTTTCTTATAACTCAAATCTCAGCTTCTATTTGCATGGATAATCGTTATTTTGGTAGTCATGACAGTTTTTCAGCATTTGCAAAGATATACAATTTTATTTAATGCTTAAAGTGCCAAAGTTTTGCAAACTCTTCCCTAAAGTTTCCACAATTAATACCACTACAGTTACACAAGTAATGTGCACACAATGGAATTTAACTTGCGGGATTTTTTGGTAACCCTTTTCCTTTAATGTATTTTTACTATAATACAGGACTTTCCATTGACGAGTTTTCAAGGAAGAAGTTGGATTTGACTGCCCAAGAGCTCAGCGAGGAGAAAGCTCTTGCATATTCTTGTCTGTCTTAAAATCTCCTTTTTTATTAGGAGAAATTAAGAATATTTTCATATGATTGTGGCTATGTGAGTAGCTGCAGTTTTCTAATAATGCCATTGTTGTTCTTGTCAAATATCATGAATGGTTGAGATAACCCAATGGATCTTGTTGAAGTACTTTAATTTGGTTTGTACTGCTCCGTTTTGACTTTGTGGAAATTGGATATGTAATGTGAGGAACTCAGAGAAGTATTAAAGGGGAGTTGCCCGCCCTGGTATTGGTAATAAAATTTTATAGATTTATGAATTGCTGCAGCTATTTTAGAATTTGTGGATCTTTGTTTCTTGTTGCATTATTGAATTGCTAATGTTTATATCATACCTTACATCTTCTGAGTTGTATAATATTTATTTATTTTGAATGTATATTTGCATGAATCATTTAGTTTCTATAAATTCCAGAGTACTTATTTGAGCACTTATTTTTGCTACTTAAATTATAGGGGATTTCCTTCGCAAAAATGTTCTTTGGAGATGGCAGATTTGGATTTAATCTGATATATATGAAAATGTTGTTATTCGATCCTTGATCTACCAGAAAAAATTTAAGTTACCTGATTAGCAGCAAGTGGTTGCTGTCAATTTTAATATAATATGTGAAACTCAATTCTATCCGTTGATTTTGTGGAGATCAATAACTTATGTTAATCAATTAGAATACACATTAATTATGTAATAAAAAAATAATTATTATATTTAAATTAATTATATAATAAATAAAACAATTTATTTCTGTTGACTGCTTTGACCGGCCGATCGTGGCCGTTGACTGACGCCGCCGGCCGTTGAAATCAACACCTCCTCCGCCGCCGTCGGCCCCTAGCTCGGACTTCCGGCGTCCTCCAATTCTTCCCCCACGTCCCTCTATGCACGCCGCCAGGGATGAGGCTGATCACCGGTGTGAAGCCCAATGAGATTGTGGTTTTGCCCCTTCAATCCGACCTCCTCCTTGTCTTCCATCATAATTGAATGGGGATGGGTTGCAGTTCAAGTTTGATTGTCGTCGATTTAGCCAAGGACATGCTTCCGATATGCAGAAATACATACGTGGTCGTGGTCAACTGCAATTGCTTGTTTATGGTTGGGAGCACGATCGTTGGCTCTCGAACATGGCCACCGTGTTGGTAATCTCAGTGCGGCGCTGCTGCTCGTGATATAGGGATGGAGGAGGAGGCGGCGGCAGCGAGGAGGGAGGTGAGCCGCTACTCCTGCAGCCGAAAGAAGGTAGGGTTGGTCGAGCAAGGCGCCAGACGAAAAATTGGATTTGGGGCAGAGGCATTTTCGAAAATTAGGCAAATTATTAGGTTTAAGTTACAATTTTAAGAACTTATAAGTTATTGGAATTAGATTCTTGGGTTCAATCTGTAATTTATTTATAGTTTGAATAATTGCAATATGGTGCACATTTAGTTCAATCTGTGCTTTAGTTCACATGAAGTGCATAGTGCTGATTGCATATTTACTTCGTACATAATGCATACTACGGTCAACGTCAACACCAGAAGTCAATGGTTCTCGCCGCAAGTCAACAATCAACGCCAGAGTCAACATTTAACGGTCAAATGGTCTAAATAATATTTAAATAATTAAAATAAAAAAAAAAGAATAAATCTTAGCAACTCATCTTGATTCTCATTTAATGTCTAGAATTGAGTCTCACGTACTCATTTTTTAAATATGTAGACCCATTAGAACCAATCCATATATGTGTGTGTGTGTGTGTGCGTTTTAAAAGGCTCCTCTCTCCACACACATGTGAAAGTATATGTACTACCGTAAAGGGTTGAGTTCTCAAGTATATATCTACCGCTAAAATTTAAGATTGTTGCGTCGACCAAAATGCGTTTAGAAACGGTTGGAGGCGGTCTTAGAGGACAATGGCTACCATGACCAAATAATTGCTCCAACTGACACCCTTTTTGAGATGCAAAATATTGTATGGCTATGTTTTCTGTACCCATAAAATGCAAATATGCGTTTGAATTGTTACAAAACCATGCGGCGGGGTGGCGGGGCTTCCATCTGGCGAGGTAACCATGCAACTCCCAAAAATTTTCAACGAGATTATTGGAGCGCTGACAATGAGTGCAATGAAGTTTGTTGGGGCCAGGGAGACGACCATCACGACGAGTAGTGTCGTGGCCGGTTTAAGGGGCTTTGGTAAGGAGAGTGGAGGCCTCAACAACAGGATGGCGATTATCAGTAAGAGAGCATTGCTTCTCGTCCTGAGCGACAACAACATAGGCGCAACCAAGAGAGGGCATTTTCGATACTAAGAATTTGGGAGCGGACAATTTTGCAGGAGTCATCAAAACACATGAAGAAATCAAATACCTTTTCCTCTTCTTGAAGAGCGTACAATTTATGAGCAAACAGGAGATGGTCGAAGACTTTGCAGTTCACTCCAAACCTTCTTAAGTTTCTCATATAACAAAGGTGGAAGTCTTTTCTTGTTGGAGAAGAGTAATGGCGCACTTTAATTCATAAATACGAGGCGATACCTTGAGTAAAGCGTTCAGCAAAGTCGTTCCAAACATCAACATCACATTCAATTATGTGAACCACCATAGGTTGAAGATTTTGATGAATGGAGTTGATGAGCCAGGATTTCACCAGGGCATTGCAGCGAACCCAGTTGTTGAAGTTAGGAGAATTCGCATCAGGGGGGAGAGATGGAGCCGTCCACAAAGCCCGACTTGTTCTTGAAACGAAGAGCATTGAAGAAAGATGCCTTCCAGGTAAAGTAATTGTCACCATTGCACACAAGGGATGGATGACAGAAACAAGGCCGAAGTGATAAGAGGGATGCATATAGCAGGGAGAGTTGACATCCATGGAGTTAGCCATATTTAACAAAAAGAGAGGAGTAGGGCAACAACTAGGGTTAGAGTTTTAAAAAAATCTGCTCTGTATCATGTAAAAGTGGAGAGAACGATTTTCTGTATATTGCTTCTCAACTTTACACAGGGGTTTTATACACAAAAGTGAAAAAATAATTAAGAATCCTAATCCTATAAGGAATATACAATTGTCATATTTATCATATAAGAATATCACAAGATAATCTCTCAATAGTGACAATTACTGTAGAATGAATTTGAGAGTGAATTTGTCGGTTGGAGATGATTAAGGTACACAATATTAACAAAGACCATCTAGGCCACAATTAAATTTTGACCAGCAAATTACCATTGGATAGACATGGCTGATATTTGGCCGAGAATCATCTTTTTTTATTATTTTTCTCCCCCTCTACTCCTTAACAAGTCTAGATTTTTTTTTTTCCAACGTCAATTATATTAATAACTAAAAACTCAAAGCGAGTACAACCGAAGTGTCAAGTGACACACTGGAACTAGAAAACTGGACCAACCCCCTTGTCGATACAAACAAGGGGTACAAACTCCATCAAGGAGGCGAACACCCGTAAAACAAAACTCCATAAAGGAGAGAAAAGCAGACAAAGCTGCACTAAAAGCAGACACAGCTGCACTAAACGAAACAAAACAACAAAATAAAAATTATAAGCAACACACACCTAATAAACAAGAAGATACAGTAAAACCTCCCCTCAACCTAACAGCTGAAACTACCCAAAACCACTTGAACCGTCTACCAAGTCACACCCCAACAAAGAAAACCAACTGAAACCCAAAACTAGGCTCCAAACCCGAAAACTGCGGTCACTCTACCGCCTAGACGAATTTTCGGGCCAAATCTGAGTCCGGAAGACCTTCACCGCGGGGATAAAAAAGGAGAACCATCACGAACCCGTCGGAGGACTAGAAGGGATAGATCGAGGAGACGACAGCCTGAAACCGAGCTGCCCAGCCCGAAGGGCATGTAGCCCGGCTGAACAGGGGGGCACTGGCCGCGAGTTGGGCTCGCCCAAGCCAAAATTAGTCTCCAAGAAGAACATGGCCGCACAGATCGAGCCTCCAAATGGACCGACGAACTCCAGCGGCTGGGCCTTTCAAGCGTAACCGACGACCTCGCCGAAGACGAGGGAGGGACCGAGGAGCGAAAATCGCCGCTGGCCAACCACCCCAAGAATTCCTAGAGGCGGAAAGGAAGCACCCAGCCGCGACTTGGGGCTGCGTTGAGGATATTTCTTTTTTTTCTTTTGCGGCGGTGAAAGGGGAAAGGGGAAAGGGGTTAGGGTTTCCTTGAGTATTATATGTGGAGCGAAAATCGCCGCTGGCCAACAAGTCTAGATTTACAAAACCAAATTTCTAACTCAAACTCATTTCCTCAAATCCTCACATCACCTCCAAACTCAAATTTCAATTTTAATTTTATGACAAGTCAAAAATGCCCTCACGAAGACAAATCAAAATTCCCAACTCCCTAATTACATCACCAAAATATAAATAGAAACAAAAAGCCTTCAAAACTCTGGCAAATCTGGCATGTCCCCAGATCTGATAAAAAGATTGTACCAAAAGTCCATGCTATCATCACTTATTGTATCCTCCACATTTTGCACTAATGGAAATTGGAACTGAATTCCGTCCCTAATATTATCCACAATAATATTGTCCTTAGATAATTCATCCGACCAAAAACTCTCGTCGATTTGTGGAGAGTATTCGGACGTGTAGTCCATTTCTTCATCATTCTTCACGCCCATTTTCTCGATCAATGAATCCGTGACGGACGACATTCCACTAGAACATTGTTGAGGGCTACTCACGATGTCTTTGGCTGAAATTGAATTTTTTGAAACTTTGGGGTTGCATTTGGGAATTGAAATAGTTGTGTGGCTCTTTGGGTCATGGCAAGGCTTGTGATAGTTCTTAAGCTTTTTCTTGAGATGGGTGTGCCAAACATTTTTTATCTCATTGTCTGTACGCCCCGGTAATCTTGCTGCAATTGCAGACCATCTGCAAAACCCAATTAAAAACAAAAAAAATGTTTAAAAAATAAAATAAAATAAACAATAGTGAATAATTTAAGTACACAAGATATTACTAAGCCACTTAGAAACATCCACTGCTTAACTTGGTCTATAAATTTAGATTATAGTGATATTTGTTAATTTAGTTCTATTTTAATTTTTAATTAGGAGATCGTACGTAGAGTTCTTATCTATAAGTTCAAATCTTGTTATCTTGTCACAGGGCTTTCTAAACAGTAAACACTGGCTTGAGGAATTATTTTTTAGTGCCAAATTGGAAGAACGTGGTGGTATATTTAACTATAAAATGGACAAACATATCTTGTGCCTGTATTTAATTATTGGTGCACAAAATGACAAATTTAATTTTACTTAAATATGTGGAGAGAAGAATCTTTTAATAAATGACAAATTTAATTTTACCCGAATAGCAGCCAGTACTCGAGATTTTATTTTTAAATATATATTTCGTACTAACTGTGGAAAAATTGATTAATTGAGTACAATTGTGCACTAATAATAAATCTACAATTTTTATTCTTTTATATTTAGGGGACTGACATTGTAAGCGTGTAAATATCGGTACTGAATCTACAAATATTACAAGTGCTGATATTATAATTTAGGTAAATTTTTATTCATGAAAACACAATTTACATATTTGTATGTATATATTTTATAATTAAAGGAAGTAGATATACTAGTTAAACAACATTAATACTCTAAATTTAATCCACACATTTTTTGATACGATATGTCAGTTGTCACACGAGACGAGATGGACTGTTTATGGGTTATGGCACGAAAAATGTGAAGGAAATTAAGAATCATGCAATTTGTGCGGGATATTATTATTGTCTATGGAAAAAGGCTACCTTTATATGAATTTATTAACAGCACGGATTTAAATTTTTATTTTTCGAAAAAATAAAATTGTATTTAATAAAAAAAAAGGAGACAGACCTGTTACCAAGCAATTGATGTAAGTTGAAAATGGTTTCTTCTTCTTCTTTGGTGAAATTTCCCCTTTTAATGTCAGGCCTTAAATAGTTAGTCCATCGGAGTCTGCAACTTTTCCCACATCTCAGTAGCCCTGCCCACATTCATATCATTTCATGTTTTAAATATACATATTTAAAACATTTTGCTTGACATTAATTAACTTGATACATAAATATAATTTGTTTAGGTAAATACGAAATCATATTAGAGAGTGGATATTTCATGAATTATAAAGATATGAAATGAACCCTCTTCAGCAGCAGACCTAATTTAGCTTCTGAAGATGTAAAAGGGGATTCTTTCTTTCTTTTTTCATTTTTTTTTTTTCCCCAAATAAAAAAGTAGTATATGAAAATAATAATGAAAATTTGATAAATAAGTTAATAAATATTACCAGCTTGTTTGGGGAGTGCTCGCCAGTTAGAATGGCCGTGTTGGTGAATGTAAGAGACCAAAATCTGGTCTTCTTCAGGGCTCCATGGCCCTTTCTTCAGTCCCATTTTCTCACAGCAAGGACCTCTTACCATTCTTCAATGCAATTCTTAACTGAAATTAATGTTCTTGATTGAACTTTTTGTTTTCTCCCTTTGTTTTTTCCTTTTTTATATATAAAAGAAAAAAATTTGTAATAATGTGAGTGAGAGAAAGGGTGGGTATATATAATTTATATACTCAATTTGATTTGATGATACAGAATATTACTACTAAATAGTTATTTTATAGGAAGTCTTGGATAGCAATTTCCAGGAAATTGGTCCTCTTTTGAGTATAAATAAATAAAATATTTTGGCAAGAGATGACTTAGTTTAAACGTTTTAACTTTTTTACCAGTAAGATACGAAATATAATCGTCACTTTGAATATTTTCACACGAGAAAGTTACATCCACTAGCAAATCTAATAAATTTCTTGATCTAAGCCGACGTAGATACACCACTTCCTGGACAAACATTCTTGGCTTCATAATTGTAATATAAATCAATTTGCAACGCCTACCATAATAGTACCCATCCTTTTGTTCTCATTTTATTATTTGTTTATTGTAAAAAACAATTGAATTAAATAGCTCGCACACACAGTCAGGATTATAATTTATTTATATTTTCATTTGCAAAAAAAANATTATGAGATCACCACCTGCAAGGATTATTTATTTAAAAAAAAAATTATTTGTAATTAAATTCTACAAATTAAATCTAGGGTTAGTTAAAAGTATTTATGACTGGTTTCTTAAATAAATTTTATGAAAGGCTATTTGAGCTTATAAGGTGTTACATCTTAGTTGTTAACCGCTGGTCGCGACGTGACAAATTTAAATTTATAAAAATAAATTTTCAAGAAATCTTCACTAATTAGTACTAGCGACAAATAAGAGTCGATTCCACGAGGAGTAAGAACTAAATCTAAAAAAGCAATAAAAATGGATGAGATTGATTTTGTAAAACTAAAACTAACAAAAGAAAATAAAAATCAAATAAAATGAAAGAAGTCTCTTTTCGGGTAATGTTAATTAATTTCAACGTCTTCTTTAAATTATTAATGAATTACCAACCATATCTAACAACAATCTCTGTTAACTAAATTTTCCTTTACCGAATATTTAGTCGAAATAATTTCTTCGACTAAACTTAACTAGTCAACCTAGAATAAGCTCTATAGATTTAGTACACTAGCAGTATTAATGACTAGGAAAATAGATTAGTCCAAGCAACAGACACACACGTTCAGTCCGTTTAACTTATGTTCATGCTGCTCTAGAGATGCGCAACTTCTAGTTTACTCCTAACGAAACGATAGGTTCCGACCTAAATACTGGTGTGGGTATTGGGGGCCTGGATAATTGACTTGTTCGAACTTTGTTTAGTGCTTCGATCCACGAAAATATTCTAATGTGTTGAAAATAAACAATGAAATAATCGAAGCATACCAATTCATCAAAATAATAAATAAGTCAAAAAAATATAAACATGCGACTAAGTTAAACATATAAAAATATACTATAATATAATACATGCACATTTTTAAACATATAAAAATATACTATAATATAATACATGCACATTTTTTGACATGTCAGTTGTGGAGTGAAAGTTGTTTAAATCCTAGCTAAAAGTATTGTCTCGTACACTACAAGAAAATGATGAAATTCAAACGGAAATATATTCCAATAGAATTCCAACGGCAATTCCAATGGATATTTCAATGCTATTATTTCCGTTGGAATTATTTCAACAGAAATTTCAACAAAAATATTCCATTGAAATGAGTTTTCCATTGGAATTTCCGTTGGATTTTGACGATTCCAACAGTAGGGTTTTCAACAGTGGTGGAAATAAAAATTCCAACGGAAATTGTATATTCCAACGGAAATTCCTACGGTCCAAAGCCGTTGGAATCATCAAATTCCATCTAAAATTCCAATGAAAAATACATTCCAATGAAATATTTTCGTTGGAATTTCCGTTGGAATCATTCCAATAGACGCTATACCATTGGAATATCCGTTGGAATTTTCATTGAAATATATTACCACATGATTTTCTATTGGAATATAACATTTTTTTTTTGTAATGGTATAAAATAAGATCGTTGAATTGTTCAAACATTTGAAACGAGTAATTAAACTTGTTATTAAGTTGATATCAATATTATCGATCATATTTATATTATAATACCCAACGTCAAAAAGCCTATAGAAATCTATTTGTTTGCGTGAAATGCCGTGTTTATTCATAGTTAAAAGTTCATCGTAATTAAACTCAATAATGAGCTTCGGTCAAATTGTAAAAGATTTTCTCTATATTCTACAGTTGGCTAAATAGGGCGAGTTAGCTTGTGCCTTGTGGCAAATCTAACATTTTTTTTTTTTCTTTTGTTTTTGAACGAGCAACGAGTTCTTGTGTGCTTGGATTCAATTATTTGGACTAATGTTACATATCAATTAAGAATAGCGAATTTGTGGAATTCAAATAAAGTTCTAGGAAATCTGCCGTCTTTATATTCCTAGAACAAGATGATAGTAAAAGGCAACCAGTATATATACATAAATGTCATAATTTAAACTTAATATAAATTAAAGTATTGACATTCTATAATAAATAGTGATTTTTTTTACATATGGTTACCTTACATACGAGAGGCGTTAGTGGTCTTATTTATTTAAATATAAATGTAACAAAATTGAGGATGTAAGTTGGGGACAAAGTCGATCCTATCCCATGGGACACTACTCTTATGGTGTTTTTCATCTTAGATCTACACACAATCACACACACACACCCATATGGGTGTGTGTAAAATTTACGTTGAAAAGCTCATGGGGTAGTATCCCTTAGGGTAGGATGATTTTTTCCGTGAGTTGGGAACTTGGGAAAATAAAAATTACGACAAGATATCAGTTGGGTGTTTGTATAATAATGGTGTTCTGAAAATTATCATGCTTTGGATGTGCCTTTTAAGAAGTCTTTGTAACTTAAAAATGTTGTGGATCGTGAAATTTATTTAAACCTTCTCCAACCTTCATCCCTAGATCTATTTCGAGATGAGCTCATTGGAAATTAGTGAAAAAGCAAAATTGTGCAAAATTAGGACATCCGTATTTGTACTATTCATTTAAACAAACAATATAGTATTTCTTCTTTTATTTACTTTATTTCTACATTGTCATTCCAGTAAAATTTACTCATTTAAACACTAACTCACATTCGATTATACATTTAAATACAAATGTGCAGGACCGATTATCTTACTATCTGATAAAATATAAATATAATATTATTTGTAAAATCAAAATAGTCATTGAATGACGGATAATTTATATAAATAAAAAATAAAAAAAATAACTGGATAAAAATAAAAAGAAAAAAAAATTGTGGACAAAAATAAAAAACACGTATTTTTAAAATACGTTTTTTTATTTATTTTTTTTTTAAAAAACGTATTTTGTTAATACGTTTTAAAATTATTTTTTTAAACAATTAAAAAAAAATATATAAAACGTATTTAGATAATACGTTTTATAAATAATAAATAAATATACGTATTTTGAAAATACGTTTTATATTTTAAAATTAATGAAAAAAAATTAATATGTAGTATGTATTTTGTGTTTTGGGCTCGTTTGGGCTCATCTGAACTCAGAATTGAGTTCTGTTTTTTCCTATACGTAGCTAACGAACCCCTCTATTTAATGATGCATGCATGACCAAATTCTTCTTGAAATCATATTCTTCAAAGCTCTTGACCTACACATTAAACGTGGTTCGCGCGACTTTGCAGTTTGGGCCCGTTCGGACTCGTCCAAGCTCGAAATTGATTTCTGCTTCTTCCTATATGTCGCCAACGAACCCATCTACGCAACCATGTTTTCCCGATCAATTTTCGGGATAAATCTATTCCTTACGGGCTAAATAATTAACAAATCACCCATTCTTCCATTTTTTCCAGCAAGTAATTGCCGTTTTCGTGGGCCCCGCTGGGTCGCGTTGCATTCCGCTTTACCAAAAAAGAAGTCGGGACGTGCAGACCGTTCCCGCACGATGTCATTCGAGCCATTAATCGAGTATTTTGAAGTTTTTAGGGAAGAAAACGGACAATAGATATTTTTTTTTCTATTCCGTCATTACCGGCGAGCTTCATTTCATGCGGCGACTTCGGGTACCCCGTTGACCCTCGTTAAGCGGGCCGAGCATTAGCGAGAGTGATTTTCAGAAAACATGAGTTAACTTGCCGAGTTCGAGCGTCCGAGTGCAACAATATAATACTTATCTCTTCCTAAACTTTCTCTTTAAATAAGTCGATCATTCCTTATAATCAAGTATCTCTCCACTTCAAAATGGAGGTTTCTGAATCTTCTCAAGCTACTAAGGTTCTTCAACCTATAAAAACCATATGTGTTCTTGGTAGTCCTAAAGCTGTCAATCCCTCATAATATCCATGTTGTAAGTCAACTTACTGTATGGAGGAACTAGTATCATCTTCTTTGATAACCTTTTAATGGCTGCCAAATATTTTGATATAGAGGTGAGAAGTATCCTCCCTTTTTATATCACTTCAACAAAGGTTGTCAAATATTCTACAACTTCGATTGGGTGCCCTAGGAACAGTACCCGGAGGATGGTACTATCCAAGATGAGTGCACAAAAGATCAACATATTTGAATGTATAGGGGGTGGATCTTCTGTTGGAACATACGTGAAGTCCACTTGTCTGATAAGGTTCTCCGTCAGTGTGGGTGTCAACAGTCTATCCCCCAAAATCCGATGATTAGTGGTGAGCAAGAACGGGAGACACACCACAGAGGTCGTGGAATGACTGGGAGGGCATTTTGTGATCGGGCCGCCTTTCATTCACAACTTACCAAGGGCTGAGTCGATGAAAGAGAACAAAATGTCCTCCAAGATGCCCCTGTGGATCAATTCCTACAGACTGAGGAGCATTACATTGATTGGTTTTACACTAGGAATGTGAGACTTATCAGTGACTTACCAAGTACACGGTGGTCCAACAGGACAACGGCTATCAGACAGTTACCGAGCGGGAGAAGTGAGATGTAAGTGTTCAAAATTTGTGATTTTTCTATTATTCCTTTTTTTGTGTGTTTCATACTAATTACTTTGAATTTTATTTTCAAACTCAAGCCTTGGAGAGGTTTATAACTCGTTAGCGAATATTGAAGACATTTCCTTCACTCCCTCCACGGTCGCAAGTCGCATTCCAACAGTCGTACAACATTGCCTATAGTTACGTGACCAA